TCCGCTTGTCCCCTATCAGCTGTAGCTCGCCGATGCCTGTTTACAACGTGCTCCTTTTCGCGTACGTCTCGGCGGAACATTATGCGACTTAATCCGCGAGGTTTTCAGGCCTCCTCGAGATGCTACCGTAGCACAGAACGGAGTAATGCGATGTTTTTAATGTTTCGTAGCTGTACCACTTAATCGTATCTGAGCAATTTTGTAGATGTACGTGTACATTTGCTTGATGCTTAGAAAATGATAATAGATGGACTAGAGCTTTCTGATCAATTCTGTGTACATCTGTAATATGTGATTATCGATGTGATCTTTTTTAGGTTTTGGGTGTAAAGTTAGGGTATGCTGTGGTTTGTCATTGTAACGTGACTGAACGGTAACGATTGATAATGAAAGATACTTTGAACGTTGTTTTAACATTAGAACTACCAGATGGGTCAAAATTACTCATTCCTAAATTCTTTTTTATAATTATTGAAAATATAAAACATCTGTTCAAGAAATTTCTAAAGAAATTGTTTTAGTAATACGCAAGAGTTATGAGAGATCGAAGTCTCGATAGATGGACTCTTGGGATTTGTAAAGAAAACTTTTGAAAAGTCAGCTTGACTGCTTGGTAGTTCTAGTTTTAAGTGGATCTTAAGTAATTGCACAGTTAGGGTTTTTATGTTTGCTATAGAATTATGGTGCAAATCTAAGGAAGCTTTTCACGTTTCTAAGGAATCCCAGAGTTTAGTTTAATGATCTTTGTCATGATTGGTTACCAATTGGTGCAGATTAAGGATAGATCGCAAGAAATGGTACTTTCAGAAGGGAAAAATGTTTCGAAGTTACCAAATGAAAAAATACGTGTCTTGTAATGTTTAGAATAATAAACCGAAGTTATTTTGTAGTAGGGAGTATAATTTAACGATTAATTGATAAATAAGTTGCAAGAAATTTTAAAGTAGAAGATTCTATAGTTAATTCAACGGAAATATCGGTTTATATGAGAAATGAAGATACAGAAACTCGTGATATGATGATTCAGAGATTTCATGAAAGAGCTGGATTCAAATCTAGATTGTCAGAAACAAAGCCTATAATCAGTAAAAATAATCACGCAGGAGATTAGATATTGTGAAAATGTATTTGCACCGAACATAAATATTTCTCGGACAACATCCTGTTCTGTGATGAGAGTACATTTAATATTTTTCATAAGGTTGTTCCGACTGTTAAACATGGGAGCACTGGTTTGTTAGCATAGGAATATTGGAAAACTCGTTTTTACAGATGCTCATAATACATAAATATGTCCATTCTTCTTTTTTTAAATAAAACTTAAAAGAAATTGTAGAAAACAGAATTTCACCTGCTTCAATCAAGATTTGATTGACTCAAAATATAGCTACTCTAACAAATAATAACCATCTGATTTATGTGGGTTTCATTTAAATGAATAAAAGTTTTGAACACACTGAATAATTATAATATTCGAATACAGAAAAACGATAGACCCCAGTGAATACAATGCTCGAAAATACTGTCCCCTGATTTCAGAAGAAATGTCGAACATCCCACTTTTCGTTACACGTAGTTGCGTAATACTTGTTAGTTTTATGTCCCGCATGTTCTTCCTTTCGTTCGACTAAGGTTTCTAACGCCTCCCAAGGTTTCTGCTCTAGGATTAAGACCAAGATATGTATTTAAAATGCGAAGTTATATTTCCTAGGTCTAGAAACACTTCCTCGTTGCAAAATTATACCGTACAGTGCACCGTAAAATGACTTTTCCTTTTCTTTCATAACTCGGGCTATCCTTCATCGAACATTATTAGCATTCCTGATCTATCGAACGTCCAACCATGGATGGCGTTATCTGAACAACACAATTTATTTTCGTAGAATTTACAAGCTAGTCCTTGTGTTGTATTCACTCGTGCCAACAGTTTCCCTTTTCGAGCGAACGGATATTCACACGTCAAAAGTGACAGAGGTTGTTGTAACACACGTACCGTGAGAACAACGTTGGTTCCGTGCATGGTTAGGCCGGCCGCTAATTGATCGCGTGCGTCCATCACTACTCTTCCTCGTGAATCGGAGAAAAAAAGGCAGCAATTAAAGCTCGAAAGTACCAAGATTCAATATGGAAAATCGATTGGCAGTTGATAAGCTATAATCGATGCAGGTCGCCAGCTCGGATCGATGCATTCGATTATATTGGTCCCGCGGGCATGCCCGATTTAGAAGTCAGTGTAAATTATTCCTGGCCGTCTTCACTTCGTTGTTTTGTCTCCGACATTGTACTCGCGCAACTAAAAATAAGAAGCCAGAAAACCGGATCCCGACGAGACTCTCCCGCCGTTGGGTTCCAGTTCTTTCAGTCGTTAAAGGCTTTCAGCGAAACAACGCGATAAACGTATATGGAGGCGGCCGCGATTCTCGAAAAGAAAATGGCTTCCTAAGGATCGCCGCGGTCTTCGCGGTTTTTAATACGCACGAACTAATAGAATTTTGTTCCCCCTTCACGTTCAATACACGTGGAACAAATAATTACATTTGGATGGGTCTTTAAGCGGTGAATGACTAAAAAACCGTTTGTTTATATTCTTTAGCCATTGATGTCATAATCTTTTTCGGTCGTCGGCTGGCGTAAAAATGGTAAATTGCGAGGAAAGATGATTCGTCGGGTTCTGTCTTCGAAGAAACGTTAATGATTCTATTTGCAACGCTTAATGAATGGGGAAGAAGAGTTATCGTGAACATTTTCTTACATTTAAATCAGGAAAGGAATTATTAACATTGTATTTTATGAGAATGAAATTATGTATATTTTATTATTCTTTGTGCGTGATTTGGGTCAATCTTTTATTCAAATATCCGTATTATACCGTAATTTATGATTAATTACGAAACTCTTTGAAGTGTTTCACAGTTGACAATCTATTACCCGAGCACATTTTATCACTCAGAATCCGGGAATTTTGCAATAACCTTAAGCAAACGGTGACTCGTACCTGTTACACGGGATCCTTCGACGGTTTTATCGGCGAACGAGCTGTTTCACAAAAATTTCGTACGAACTCAATTTCCGTCTGCCTATTGTGAAATTTATCTTTCCAGTGTTTATACAAAGGTTTTCCCGCTGAGAGTACGACAGTTCCCATTAATTCCGAGCAAATTGAACTTCCTTCTATCTGCCGTAGAATCCAGTTCCATAATATTTATAGAGACTCGGACGTATGGTCTCGTCATTGTTACGAAATATTGTTTCTGTATAAATTCCGAGGACAACGACAGCAAAGGAATAGATATATATTTATATTCTTGCCGGGGAATCGAACTCGCACCGTTTTTCGCGCCGCTTGGAATGATTGGGAAGCGAATAGTATGTACTACTTTATCAGCCGAGAACACATGAGTTTTACTACATCGACAAATATTGGCATTGTTACGTCATTCATCCTTCCTGAACTAATTAGCCTAAAATTATAATCGTCGAGTGCTAAATATAACCAACGAAATCACGTGCAAACAGATTTTAATATTCCGAACATTTTCAATCATCTGGAATATAACGTTAATTACTCAATTGTAGAATACTCGTCCGTTCGTTACTTCATCCCTGCATTCTCAGTTAGATCAGAAATTCTTTTGAAAAACGATATTCTGTCGAAACAAGATGAAAGAGGTTTTATATTCCTTTGAATATCTTCAGTCACTTAAAATATAACATTGGTTATTAAGTTGTAGAAGATTCATCTGTTCATTATTTCATTTCCACAAATTGACAGTTCGATAATATTTTGGTAATCATCTAAACCATCGGAACGCTGTAACGAGATGGAGATTTATTAGGGGACGTTAATCCATCGTTAAATGAACCCGCAGCAACAAACCGATGACCAGGGTTTATTCTCAAGATGCTGCGGGTTACCCAATGCTAAACGGCCAATCTATCCCGACATGGGGATCGCGTGTTGATAATTTGGGTCATGCACTTTCGGCCGTGCGCACGTTTACAGCCTTTACATCGACCCGTAGCACGTCTCTTTATCAGCTGCCACGCTCAAAGCACGCCAGTCTCTAGTTCGGTGTGGCTTTAATTAACGAATTTCATCGTGGCACCGCGTTAATACCCGGCTTGCATTCCACCGTCACCGCGCGGAGTTAAGATTCGCGATGGTGATCGTTTCGGAACAATATGAAATTTTTACTCGACGCACTGACACACGGCTTTAATGAATGAAGTTTGATTTATGACGGCGATATTAAATGGTTGCACGCGAACCACCGGATTCGTCGAGACAGTTCGTGTCACATTAATCTCTCACGTTATTCTATTACTCGTGGACTTCTAACATATCGTTAGTGTGAACTTCGAATGTTTGTGAAATTTATTCATTGATGCACGGGCACATTGAAGGTAAAGAAAATCTCACTTAAGCACTAATAGATTCTTAGACGAATAAGCACATTGATATTTTATTATTCTTTCTTTGAAAATTATGACTCCTGACGAAATTATGACATCTTTTACTCAACAATTAAAATCGTGATATCATTTCACTTTTCCAGGAAAATACAATGACAAAATTTTGTATAACATCAAATGGATGGTTGAGTAAGAGATAATATTACTTACTGTACTAGAATTTAATGGTAATTGTATTGTAAGATAATTTCAGAGTTCGTTGACACTTCTATTGATACTTTTCATTCATGAATGAAGTATCATTATGAAATGTAATGATCATGAATGAATAATACAGTTAAGTATCTAAATGAGAATTTCCATGAATTAGCAATAGTCTAGCGCTCACGGATAAACATTAAAAAAAGAATTAAGTTTCTTGTATCTCGGATATGTCTGTTCATTAGGCAGCTGTAAATTAAATTAGTGATTTAATAGTGAATTCGCGTGTAGTAGATTCAAGTGTCCTTCGCACCTCTGGAAACGAATTATTATAAGCAAACCCTCCTCCACCTGAGAGATTACAAACGGGAAAAGGTTGCGTTAACGTTTAGAGCGTCAGTGTATCGCTGACTTCCGAAGAGAACGCGTCGGTTAGTCATTCCCCGGGCATTTTAAGGACTACGTAATATTCACGCTTAATTGCCACTATGTGTTAACACATTGCGTACGCGTCACAACATTCCTAGTGTGAGTGAGGTTTGAATCAGCACTGTGTGGTATTCATTTGAATATTAATAAGACCGTGCATTCTCCGGAAAGGTACTCTCTGCTTCCGATCCACTTGTAAGTAGAAGCTGAGCTCAAATTTCGCTTGTCATCGTGAATGTTAAGCAAGTCAATACTTCACTGAACAAAATCGAATAACATTTTAATTTTATTGTAAAATTAATTTTATATTCATTTCACTGTTTTATTTCATAATTTAATTGAGAAATCTTGATTTCATCTAAATGTAAAATATTGAAAATATTTTTAAAAATTATTGCTATTGCTCACTTCCGATCATACAGAACCGAGGAGTAAGTGAGATGTAGATGGATTATGTGTCAGAGAAACAGAGCTTGGAAAACCAGTTTATTTATCTGCCTACGCAAGTAGTATAAAGAATATTTACATCTTCGTATCGTCTTGTAACGTGCTAAAAAAAAATAACTAAATGTTTTAGGGTATTAGTATCTACATATATTCAACTTTTTCCATAGATGTTAACGACACTGTACATATTTTAGTTCCAATTTTCGCAGCTCGAATAAAAACAAATGTTGTGGACCACCGATAGTGCACTCCCGGTTGAACGTGTTAATTTTATCCACCATTCGATAATTGAGTATATATCTTCACCGTTTATTTTTACAATGCTACTTTTATAAACAAAGATCAATGTTCAGTATTCAACAACCACATGAATTCCAATATAATAATTAAAAATTATATTGTGCCATTTCAAAAGTATCACTGAAACTATCTTTTCCAACACCATAACCACCGAATATTTAAAACGATTAATATATAATTCCTACAAAAATTATAACAATACATTCGTTTCAGTTTCTTCAAATATTCACTATAGTATCCATGTGAAACCATTAATTACCTTATTTCTAATATTTAATAATTTTAGAATATCAATAATTTCAAAAGAACGAAATTATAACCATTTCAGTTACTACATAGTTTTAGTATCGAAGCACATTTTTATTCAAAACTGTCTTACATTGTAGTCAAAGATGTAACGATGAGAATTTTAGATTTCTTCGAGTTACCTGCATACAATCTACCTACGTATTATATTTTTTACTGTGTTCATACTATTATTACACGTCAGAAACCGCAAAACTTCCGTTCCAAAATGGCGTGTTCGTTGTATCATCGCGTCCCGCAGTTTTTCTCTTGTGTTTTGTCTCTTTCGGTTGCGTTTCATCGTGAATGGTTCGCGTGCCGGTCTCGACTATCGTCGTCGGCTACCTCAACGGAAAGATACCGTTTTTCCATTAGTTATTTAAGCGACACGGCTATCAAATGAAACGAACGCACGAAACCGCGGCTGTACGTTCAATTCTCCTCCGTTCCCGCTTGCGACAACTATTTCATAATTCAGGTCACGCATATCTCGAAGCCCGTTATTATACACGCCGTATCGACTATTGTTTGAGTGACTACTTCCCGAACGTCGAGCTCGTGGCGAACCGACACTGTCACTGACATGAATTGGTACCTCTTAATTCACTGACAGTGTCAACCGAGCACCTTATTTGCACGATTGTAATGCGGCAAGAGAGAGTGAAGATAAAGTGAACATTGACGAAACGACCACTAACGTTTGCTGAAAGTGTTTGAGTACATTAACATCGGAACTGCTAACCCAGTGGCTGCAAAACGACCGACTTCGGATTCCTTATAAACATTGTTTGAGTTTTTAGAAGCATGGATAGAATTTTAAGAGAATTTATGAGTAAGTTGATTAAATAAATTATCAATTTATGGACTTTCAAGTATAATGAGTGGAATATTGAGAAATCGTAAAGTTGTTTCGAATATATTCGAAATTGAATACTTGTGAAACTGAATGGCGCGTGTATTAATAGAAATAAGATACTAAAAATAAAATAATAGTCGCAATTGTTCTCGTAACTTTTCATCCCATTACACACGTATAAGTTGTTCGATTTATATTTTCTCTTTAATGAGACACTTCTTACATTTTCGAAGGATTTGCATTTCTGATCGTAAAGCCTGCACGTTAATAGCCACCAGCGTGAAAATAGAATTCAATTTGAGCGCTATTAAAGAGCTTGTCAGGCAGGTTCTTTCTAAATCGAATTTAATGTAGTTCCTAGTGTAAACCTTCTAAAACTCAATTTCATAATACCGAACAGCTTTGATTATTAGGAATTATTAAATGTCCAAGCAACATGCCTCATCTTGAATACATAATTATGCAGAGTGTAGAAAGCTCGGCGACACGAGTTGTAATTGAATGTTGAAAGTTTCGCTAGTTACTTTGCAAAGTTTTATATATTATCCGCCTATATAGGTGAAAGTCGTTTTAGCATGAAACGTGAATGTTTTATGAGTAGACGCGATCGAAACGAGTCGTTTTGTGGTAAGGATTTGTTTGAATCCTTCACAGTTCGTCGGTATTTATAGTGCATAAGTAACTTTGAAAGATCCAGTCTAGGCTCAATAATCACAAACAATGAGTGGTAATTACAGAGATCATCAGTTTTTAAATTCTAAATAGAAAACTTAATTTTCCAATGCAAGAAGAAGTTATTATTCTATATAAATTCAGCCATTCATTCGATTCGAAATTTGTAAACGAGAAGAAAATTTTGAAATGAAGAAAGTTGGTAATTACTATTTCTCAGGATTCGAGTAACAATATTAACCCCTTGCACTGGCAACGAATTCATAGACTCGGTAAAGTCTCGAGCGAAGAATTTTCTATTTATCTGTTTTACATAGATATGTACGCTGATTTTATATTCTTATAGTTTCGTATAGCTCGGTAGACTTCAAAACAACCTGGTATATGAAATACAACAGAACTATTGATTATAACCTATTATTGGCAATTTGGTAACAAAAACGTCTCATGCAATAGATTAACCCATTCGAGACCAGGGTTTTCTTTTTAAAAATGGTTTCCAGGAGCCTAGACTCGAAATTTTAATTGTTTCTCATCTTGGGGCCTTGGTTTGAAACCAATACAAGCTCTAATGTGTGCACTCCTTTAATCTTTACTACTGACTAGTAAAATAAACTAGTTTACTACTGATAATAGAAATTCATGATCATTATATATATATATATGGTGTGCTATTAATCTTTTAGGCCAAGTACTCCATTGCAGGCCTGAGGAGTAACTAGTCTCGAATGCCTTAAGAATTCTACTGTATGTAGGGTTAATGAATTTCCTCGTAGCCAATCGATATGCGTTTGATAACGTTTCTCGGGAAACGTCGGGTGAATGCACCGATATGTAACATTTCCACTAGTTCGGCGAGACGTTGTGCCAACTTGTGCATCCTCCGTGCGATCATTTGGCATCCCGCGTTGGATCCCGTCGAATCTTAAGCCGTTCGAGGCTGAGATCTTCTATCGACGATTTGGGTCGCGCACTCCGCGCCATTATTTCTCGCGTTAATGCGGCCTCGTTCGCGGATATCCTTCAAAATCCGTGTCCATTGCGTCCCGTCTCCTCCATTCGGAATGTTGTTGCCAGTAATTGCACGCAGACTCTTCAAACGATGGAAAGCTATTCGAAGAAACCGTGGAGTTCGGCCGCGAACGTGCGGAAACTGATTTTCATAAAAGAGCCAATTACAGAGGAGTTTAACCCTTGTACGCTGTTCATTAAATTGGATCGAATTATGAATGAAATTGGATCAAGGCCGGCGTTGAGCTAAAGGAAATAATGATCCGTAATTCAATTGTAATATGTCTTTGTCCGAGTTAATAAGAAATATGATTGGAAACAAAGATTCGCTTTTTGATTAGAATCAATCGAACTGTAGGAGGATTAATTAATTAATTTTGTTTCATACGATTATGTGTTCCGAATGTTATTGTAAATGTCCGCAATAAACTATTTTTGTGCTTAAGAAATGTTTGTTTTAGGATTTGGGGAAATAAGTCGAATAGTTTCCAACACGCTGCATCTATCATTTTAGTAACGCCTTGATAGTCACGATGATCAACGTTTTTAAAATGCTTAGTAATAGTAGATTCCATCGAGTAAGTATCCGAACAACAGTTTAAGTTCCGTTTTGAGTAGCAATTGAAAGTAAAAATCGTGTTACCGAGCGGTAATCGTTATATCAACTGACCGTATCCGTGACTAGCTGTGAAATAAACATGCGACTGATAACACCGTATGTAGCTGCGCTTAATCATGTTGCGTAATATGTTATTATGTGATTATGATAATGAAAATTCCACTGTGCCATACACAAGCCGCATAGAATTTACTTGAATAGATGATTTTTGAAATCTACGAAACAGGATTTGACGAGTATAGAAATCTTTGCAGGAATCCTGATGAAAGTGCAACTAATTTTAGTTGCCAAAGTCCTATGTTGTTTATGATGTATAATTAACACTAGACCTGCGCGTCCGTCAAAACGACGGGTTTCAGTTTTTTTATTCGTAGGGGAAAGAGAATATTTCATTTGTATAAACAATATTTCTACTACACGAGATGCAATAAAATAATGAATCCAAATCAGATCACAAGCACAATATATACATTCGGATATACTCATCTCACTCATCACTTTCTAGGGCATACTTTCGTTGTCATGCATGAACTTCAAGTACGTTGGAACATTTTAGATTCATTTAACCTGAACATCATTAACATATAACAATCAATATTGCAGAAAATCAATTTAGTCAAGAATATTTATTCCCATTATTATAGAATATTCATCAATACATCCGTTCCCAAATTGTTAAATATCCGAAATGATTTTAGAAATAGTTTCATTCAAATATTATAACGAATGTACGAAGAAACCGAAAAAACATATTACAATTTTTATAGGAATGCCATATTAATCGTATAAAACGCTCGATAATTTTAGCGTTAAGTGCGATAAATCCGCAGAAATCGAAATATATCTTATAAGAATATTACACTTATCAAAGTATTATGTAAATAGGTAATGCTAGTTACCCGAATAATTTCTCCATAGTGATTCTCGCGATCATGTCGGTGAATTAATAATTAATTTACTCACGGACAGGACCAGAATTCGGGTTCGTAAAATATTGACCGCTTT